CACTTGGCAGTTTGACACGTCCGCGGATGTAAGGATGCGCACGCAGTCACACATGATGGGTTGTCTGGGCATTCGGATATTGCGACAGGAAGAGATGATGTGTACGTCTTGACACTTTGCGTTTGGCTCAGCGGCACATTGCACATCGTGGGACGTAACCATCAATCGGTTGTCCAGTCCATGTGTCACCAGACAACTGGGGGAGGCAGCCTTCCCCCAAGATAACGAGAGAAGGAACGAGCAGAACAAAAACACCATCCCACACACAAACTCAAAGGAGGAAACTTGACTTCTTTAATTTTCTTTTGTCGTAAACTTTAATGTACGGAGTAAGATGATGCATACGGTCGGTTTCGGTAGGGCAGGTTAATGGAACAAAAAAGACTCGTTTGGCATTCTGCCTTTTTCCGTTGAAGAATTATGTCACAAACAAGAATCATGGCCTGTCTTGCGTTCTGTGTCAGCTATCTGGGGAAGGGGATCGTCGACCCTATGAAGTAATCGATGCTTCTAGACTTTAGCAGGCGAGCCTTTTTACTTTTTGGCGTGCGAGCTATCTCGATGCTTCTATGTAGTAACTTTCCCGTCCTATAGAGTTCGAACGGCAGTAGACCCTTACTGCATAAGCTCCAGATCTAAAGCTTGAGGTGTGTTGAGACGAGACGAAACCCTTCGTGCAGGGGGAGCCTAGAACCCGTCTAGTGTCAGCTACTGTATTATAGAGGGCGAGAGGATCAGTTCATCCGACCATGTAGAGTTTTGGCCGGTTTTATTTTCAAAGGGAGATGTAGACATATTACCGCTAGCTAGCTTACCCGTACATCACGCTATCCCTCAGCATCGATACTACCTGGGGGCACCGCTGGAGTTTCTAACGGCTTATCTTTGCTGGAAAGACGCATACCCGATTTCCCGCCCCTTTGTTGCGTCGAATGATTTTGGGTGCGTGCGGCGTATGCAGGGCAGAGGGGGAAGAGCGTTCGAGATCATGTTCTGTGACACGGGGAAGAGAGAGTGTCTAGACTCTAGCGTGCGATGGAGGTGGTTTGGAATGTTGTGGCTTTAGAGGCCGAAGGGGGGAGGAGGAAGGGTGATTCAGCTGGGGAGGAGTTATTGGAAACGGCGTTTGATGCTTTTCTCCCTTTGAATCATGAATCACTGGGAATCACTGAGAAGATGGCTTTACGAGTAGGTAGGCTTGTCTCGTGCGCTTGTCTGGGGTTGTTGGGAAGTGTGTCAATGCAAGCGCTTCTTTCCCCCTTGAGTCTTCTCTCATTAGCAGAGAGGTGCGAATGAGACTCATATCGACTGGATTCAACACTTGATAAATGGGGGCTAACGCGAGAAGCGACATCTGAATCTCATGAGAATCGTTTGCGATGTAGTAAGAAGCCACAATGTTATGGCTGAACAATACCCATAAAAGTACATGATCACTTGCTCGAGTAAGAAATATTGAACTGAAAGCCCGTCCAATTCCGCACAGATTCTGGTTTCAGATATCCCTCGCGGAAATCAATCCGCACAGGTCAAACGTCCCCTAAGTGAAGCCATCATGGGCAAATTCGACCATATCCGGCAGAACAAGAGGTTTTTGGGTTGTCTTTCTATTCCCAGCCCCCGAAGATAGCTCTTCGTCAGGAAATCATTCGACTTTCCTACGGCACTTGAGGCGCTAAGGCGTGTGCCTGGCCTAAAACACGTGGTAAAGAAGTCGTATCATTCTTTTCGAAGAGGCGAGACAGCCCCCCCCCCTCTCTCTCTTGTGTGGTTCAGGAATCAATGAACCGAACAGGTGTCGTGTCAAAGGGCGATAGAGGGGTGAGGGGCGTGGGAACTACGTGATGGAAGCCTATTCAGTTCGTCACTGGATCCCTCTTCTTTTACCTTGAGGTTTCAGAAGTGTTGTAGAGTATGAGAAGAGAGAGAGAGAGAGAGGGATAGAGGCGTGCAAGGACGTAGTCCCTCGGAGGACATCCCATTTGCGGCGAAACTTTTGAGTGAATATCGTGAGCAAGGCGCAAGAAAAACTGTTGGGCACGTGGGTAATGGAATACTCGTCCGTGGACCAGGGACAGCAAAACGGTGGCTTTTGATGAATGTCCCACTTCGCCGACCTGAATTGCCCTACTCGTTGCTTTTCCCAGAATGAAGGACAAAAAAAAGATGGCAACGAGTTGAGGTTAGGCAGCGTCAGCTACAGCTCATCGTGGTGTTCCTGACTCGGGGGGAGGTGGTGGCTATCCGCCCGCGCGGCAGTCGTCGGAGTGGTTGCCTTTCCCGGCGAATCCTGCAAGCCGGGCGTCCGCGGAGTTTTGCTCTCTCTTATTATTCACCGTTCGTTCATGGGAAGAGGTACAGGGGCGTGGTTTCGTCAATGGAGAGAGAGGGCAAACACCGAAAGAGGCTAGGTGAGATCCAACGTAGAAGCGCTAGAAGGGATCTTCGCGCAGGAACAAACAACCTAAGACAATGTAGTGAAGGAAAGAGAGGGTGAGGGGGGGGGGGGGGAAGAGGGGCAAGAACACATTCAACAGAATAAACAGAAAGAGTCCCGACATGGATAATGAGTAGATGGACAACGGTGTAAGTCTACCCATATACACCCCCAATTGTCCATCGTCGAAGACATCACACAATATAGAGTTTCCCACACCCTCTCAATCGCGCAATCGAAACACTTTCCTCCTCCATCTAGGCGGTAAGGCGCGGGAAGGGGAATAAACCAGCATCGAAAGATTTGGGCAGACTGAGCGGCGCGGGAGGGGTGCCATCCGTTCATCTCACATCACGCCTTTTTCTTCTAGTGATAGACGCCCTTCCGCATATCGCTTGCCTTCTCCATGGCTCGACCTCTCAAATGCATCGCCCTACGGAACGGCTTCCCTTTCCAAGTGAAACCAGAAAAGTGTGGGGAGAGGAGGATCTACACTCCGATGCCGAGTGATTGTGTGTGCCCGCGTATGCCTTTTGACAGCCGTGATAGCAGTAACTAGCTGGAGCAAACTCCGAGCAAGTGTGATGAAAACGCCCCAAAGACGATCAGGAAGCTAGCTGTCAATTTCAACACAAATCCTTCAGACGGAAAGGACGATCATCCCGTTTCCCGCGCCGCCCTTTAGCAAAGGAAACTTTTACCCTAGCCTCATGGTATCAATCCTCAAGACGTCTAAGGTGAAAACTAGAATGTACAATATCCACCTGTTCCTGCCCTATTACCTCCTTCGCCCCCGCCCCCCTTCCTCCCAACGACGAAACGGTTTCCTAAGCCGGAGTCTAGTCCGCCCATGCCTTAGTGACAAATAATGAGGAGGGACGAATGGATGCGGGAAGAAACCACCCGCTACCTATTTGGATTCCATCATTGAATTTCAGACCAATGATGATCCAAGAGATAAGACTCATCCGAACAGGAAAGAAGAAACCAGAAGACAGGAAGAGCATGGCAGACACGGAAGAGAGTACTCCAGCAAGGTCTAGGACTATGTACAAGGCTAACCCAAGCACCCTTTCGAGGGTGGTGCACTAATCTTTTTTTTCTTTTTTTGAGAATGGCGAATAATTGACATTGGCAATACATTTCATTCGCCAAGTTCAATCGCCAAGATGAAGGGAAAATGTAAGATATTCCCTAAACCGGCCGAAACAAACCGCGTGGTATCTTCATCTGCCACTGCCTGCTTACCCCGACCGTTTGTCTTACTCATCTCAAGAGACTTCACAAGGCACAAGGCCGACGGGAGGAAATGAGGCGTCGGCGCCTTAGAGAATTGGAAAGGAAGAAGATCGTCCCTCCTCCCATCGGCATCGGCACCTTGCCGTCCCCCCCCCCCCCTTCTCCCCCGCTTACCCCGCCGAGGGTCCAGTCCCTCACTCCCGGCGGCGGGACGATCCTCCCCCGGACGGGACGAACGGGATCCGATCACACACGCGCGCAGTTCCCTAAACCGATGAACGAGATAAACATTCTATTTGGTATCTACTCAGTGATTTGATAACAATGCTAGATCGACGAGTCGCCGGATGGAAGCGGGGACGAAAATGAATGATTGTTTCCGCATATTCCCAAAAAAACAAGTAGACACAATGGAGGGGCAAGGGCGCTTCACGTAAACGAGATGTTACACTTCATCAACCGGGAACAAAGCTTGTTTTCTTCCCGGCCTACTGATAGATTGCAAAAAAATAAACCACAAATCGAGACCACAAAGCTCTGCATACGTTGCTTGCCTTTACCAAGATTCGAAGCTATCGTCAAAAGCAGTGAAGCAGCGAGAGAGAAGCTGCTCACTAAGAAGAAGTACGCGTAAGGCGGAAAGTGTGTGAGACGGGAACAAGCACTACAGGATGAGAAACAACGACGCCAACAACGACGGCGGCATACTGGTAGGTAGCACACATATTTGAAAGACCAGAGACGGGAGGCTAGACCACCCAGAAACAGAACTCATCACTGCCCCATTCAGGAATGTCTCAAATGTCGTGACCATGCCCCCATCCCTGCGCCGCTGCGCCGCCCCGGGGCTACATCTTTCCGTGTATCCGGGATGAGCTCGATTTGTGTAATCGTGTGTGTGTGTGACCACGCCAAAAGAGTCGGCGTGTATGGTAACCTAGATTGCCTGAGAAAGGTGTGCCGCAGGCAGCCTCCTTTGGAGGAGAAAGCTACTACAACGATCAAGTCTCGAAACGACGGAAACCCCTACGGACCGAGACCTTGGCGCGGGATAGAAAGGCGAACGAACGCCTCTGAACGTATCTAGCCTAGCCTCTCTGGTAACCCATCTACCACCAAAAAAACCAGGCACCGCGGTAAAACGGGTGAAAAAGATCCGTGTCCGTGTTTACCTGACTACACCTCTCCTCATCTGCCGCCATCACGTAAAGTCAACAACTCCATGCCATTTCCGGCGATTATCCCCCTCTCAAATGTTGTCAAGGTAAAAAAGCATAGGATATGCGTGGAGAGGAAGAAAAAGGGGTTTATCTCTTACGGGTTTGGTACCGAACAAAAAAGGAAACAAAACAAACAACGGGTAGATCGGTTCAGGCGGTTGATCCCTTCGTACGGTCAGCTGTGTAAGCAAATAGAGCACCGGATAGGCTAGAAAATGCTTTCCATCCGTCATGGGAACTTTTGTAGAATACAAGTCGGCAGTAGAAAAAGTCTCGAAGGGGGGATAGGCCAAGGTCGAGGGTCCGGAGTTAATACGTCAAATCCGCAAGGAGAAAGGACTGCGGTAGTCAATTTTGTTCCTCTACGTAAGCTCTGGTGACGACGCCGAAGAGGAGTCAACGAACGAAGGAGACTGCAGTGAGTAAGTGAGTGAGTGGGTGTGCCACATCACACACCGTCACACGTCATTCTACGACGAAGGGCGACGACGAAACATCGCCAACCTCAGACCAAACCAGAACTGGCCAAACACCACCCACTGACGACCGGAACAAATCGAAACCAACGTTTCCAGCTTTATCTTGATTCCCGGGCTTGCGGTCCAGCTGCTGTTCACTGCTTAAACTCATACCCAGTCCCCGGATTTCGTACCCGGAAATCTTATTCAAAGTGGTAAGACAGGCCCGGCGACTGTTTCTTACGTGCGAAACTATGATGATCCCGAAAAACAGGTTTAAACGGGGGATAATTGAGGGATAGGTTTTGGGGGGAGGCAAAAACCCGGGAATCTGGGAAGTGTTCCAGCACAGCCCCGATGAGTGAGACTTCCGTAGACGATTTCGTGAAAAGTCTGGCTGAAGAGAGTTTCCCGAAGCTCCAGTGACCATACCTAGATGGGACAAGATGAGAGACACCCTCTTACCTATCCCCCCGATGAGCTTGAGGGTCTACGAAAAAAGATCACCACGACGGAGTGGGAAGCTCCTCGACATGCGTCTGCTCATGTATCTGTGCCTGGCATTCTACTTGCCCGGGCAGAAGAAACTTGCGTTCAAAAGGGCAATAGACGAACAGAATCGACGTATCAATGCCTTCCCAACACCGACCATAAGTCGTGTGGCAGACTCTTGGGCGTCTCTTTACGAAATCGCGTGGATTGTGTGTGCGGATGGGGCCGTTTCTGGCCCTGGGGCCTTCATTTGTTTCCCGCGCCGGACTTGAGGGGAAAGTCAAGGCTGCGAGCGTACGTGTGCCTGAGAAAAGTGACGGTGCGTCCAGTAGAAAGACGCTAGAAGGCGACGAAGAAGTTTTCCACACGTCACCGGCGATGCCGCAAACGGGAGGCTTTCGACCGGGGACCTGGGAACGAGAGAGGAATACCTACGCAGTGCGCGCGGGGCAAGTTCAAGGCGCCGCGGGGCCTGAGGCTACTCGGTTTTCCCACATGGAGGGCGTGCAAAATCCAGCGAGAAGCAAAACGCAAACAGACAGACATCGGTCCCAAGGACGTGGTGCGTGTCTCGGGGACCTGAAGCTTGCGGCAGCACGATGGGAAGCACTACACCTTTGGCGGACAGAGAGCTGATGGAAACCGGCGGGAAGTGTGCCTCTAACATCCTGCGACGGGGAGGATCGAGGCACTTTGTGGAGGCTGTGCCCGTTAGGTTTCTGGTTGTCGATGAAGCAGGAGGCTGCCATGTGCGCTGGCTGAACATGTCTCGCCGGATGCGGGTTGAAGTTCGTTGGTCAATAAGGGATGGGATGGTAAAAGCTCTTTTGTTTACCAGCGGGGATGCCTACCATAGTGGACCCCGAGAATGATGATGCGTACTGCTTCTGCTGAAGGCCATCACCCCGACGGTGAAGACCAGGGCTGGATCATGTCTCGGTCCGCGCAAACAGCTGTGAACGCCTTCATCCAGTCTGTCGGGTCCAGGAAGTGAATGACGAAGAGGACTCTGCGAGGCGTTAGTGGGGGAAAGTCGAGTTCCCAAAGCGGGTATGTAATAGAGTTGAATCAAGGTGTGCTGCTTTCGGGGAATTGTTGTTGTCGTCCTTGATTGTCACCTTACCTTACGCAGTAGTTAGCGGATAACCTTGCAGACTGCAGTAGGAGGATTCTGGGGTCGGTAGGGTGACTGCGGCTGCGGGGCCAATGGCCTTGCGAGTGGATGCAAAAGGATGGCAGCGGCTGCGCAGATTGCCGTGGCTATTTCCATCGGCCAAAGTCTGTGCGGCGTCTATTCGAGGCATGCCGCCCGTGCTGGCCAATGACACGTCGACGGGCGCTTGTGGGGAGGGGGAGGGCGAGAGCCTCCCGGGAGACATGGGATGAATGGCCATGTTCGGATGACTGATACGTGGGCGCTAGTCAAGGTCCTGCAGCTCAGCGATGGAACGAGAATTGAGGCTCAGAGGACGAGGACGCGCTTCCTGAAACGCGGCGGTTGGGGGCTGATTCGAGGCGACGGCGAGCGGTTCATCGCCTGTCTTACTCTTTGCTTGGAGCGTAGAGACGATCTTGCTTTGGCGGCCGTCATTGGCTCCCATGAACGGGCGTCTTTTACAGCTGGCGTTTGAAAATTAAGGAATCGAGCTAAGAAGAGGGATAAGCCGCCTGCAGTCTTTTGGCGCCCGGCACCAAAGCCATGAATTGCATCTGTTCGAAACTCGAACAGCAATCCTTTGAGACCTATGCGTCCAATGAACAAGGGGGTGTTAATGTAGAGGCAGAGCCGCTGCAGTGTTAGTGAACAGCGTCATTCTCATAGGAGAGCAAAAAAGGCAAGCCTCAGTTTTGGTGGTAGAATGTTTGCTTTCTCGTTGTTCTTCCTGGCGTTCCTTGCGCGGACCGGCGTTGAGCTCGAATTGCCGTCCACATGGGGAAAGGTCACTCGGCGACGTGCCGACGAGGCGTCGCGGAAGACACCGTATGGTTGGCGTTTTTGGAGTCGACGTAGGTTTTACGTATTGTTCATCGTGGTGCGGCAAAATTTTCCCGCTTCCACGCCGCGACCGAGACATCAAAGGATTGGGGTGACCGGACGGCGCCACGCCCCGGTAAGCGGACGCCGCTGGTAGACGACCACTGGCTTACACAGGAGGATCTCCTTACAGAGTCCTCGTAGCAATCTTGCAGTGTTCGTTCTGTGGAGTGTCGGCGGAGTGGCATTTCGTACGAAGGGTGGCTTGGCTGGCTCCGTGTCTGCGTTTATCTCTTCCAATGCTATGGGCATGGGTTCTTGAGTATGAGTGACATTGGCTTGCCTGCACCGCCATAGTGTTGTCAAAGTCCCGATGAATTCTTCTTCCTCTTTATTTTTTTTTTTTTTTTGTTTTTTTTTTGCGGCGGAGACAATTTGCAGTGTGACGCTGGCCGGGTCAACTTGGCCTTCAAAGCCACCAAAAAAAGGACACGAATGACTGACCACCAGAGCCACGTTCGGATCCGGGAAGTGGCGGCTCGGGTGGGACGGGAGAAGAGAATGAATAATCGCCGCGGGGGAGGGGGAGGCCCGAAGTGTGGCTGGTACCGTAGTACCTATGTTCGCCGTCGCTGTCGCGTCCTCTGGCGCTGCGACTGCGAATGCGACTGTGACTGCGAGTCGCGAGGGGTCTAGGGCCGAGGGCGACCTGGTGAGGAAGAGCGCAGCAGGCCAGGCCTGTACCGGTAGCCAACAGGAGCAAGGGGGCCCGACGCAGGCACGGCAGGGCAGCCAAATCCCTGAGGAGGGTGATCGGAAGAGTCGTCGATCAAGTGACTAAAGAGCCGAGGCCGGCGATCAGCGATGGGATGACAGATTGAGGAGAGCAGCGCACGCACCACACCTTGGAATCCATGTTGAACGAATGGGAATGCGCGACCATCCCAGCGTGACAGGGGAAAGGGTCCGAAGGGGGGGCGTGAACGTTGATGCGTTGAAAGGCATGCCGCAACTGTGGCTCAAAATGGGAGAGAGACCGCCCTATGCGGGGTACAGATTCAGCGAATGCCTGGCTTCCATCACCCCATGCCACGGTCCCAAGTCTATACCCACGCATGGGCATGCCTCCGATCAGCTGGCACAAGCCGAACGGTGCAGGGGACAAGACACCATAACTGGTTCATCGCTTGAGTGGGCGCATGAATTTGCATCACGAACATCTCCGTGTGGCGGAGACTGCCGATGTTTGCTGTGTCAGGCGAACAGGTGTCTTTTTTGATGCACTTTGTCTGAGCCGCACAAGATCACGACGCTGTGGCCGAAGACGTTGTCGCATTCGACCCAACAGGCCGGAAAGAAATCGATTTTCGTCAATAGGCAGGCCTCCCGACTAGCTGGTCGTGGGCAGGTTCAGAACTTCAGCCACAATTTGTCTCGGGACATAGCCACCTCGTGTGGCCTGGGCTTTGAGGCGCGATTGGCGAACTCGTACCGCAGTGCAGGTGTTCCGTTCCAAGGCTATCCCGCCAATCACGGCTCTCGCGTGGCTTTGTACCGGAGTGGTCTCCGACACACCAGGACCGAAGCGGCAAGGCCTTCCGGCGAATGTGGGCCCCGGGTTTGAGGAGGTGGGTGATGGAGCTCGGGAGTCATTGAGAGGAGGGAGAAGGGAGGCGGTGAGGAATTCGGTCGGGTGCCGAGACGGTCTAGACGGACGGACGGCCGGCGGACGCTGCATGTCTGCAACGGCTGGACAAGATTGAGTCTCTGCGTTGGCTCAGCATGTGACGTGGACCACCTCGACCGAATGAGAAGGCGATGCCATAGCGAATGAGCATATCCAGGCGATGATGATGGGTTAATTCTGCTCCTCCTCTCTCCCAAGTTCCTTCCGTGTTGCTTGTGATGCTTGTAAGCAGGGTACCTGGTTGCATTACTGCATCAACCTTCCGGTGCCAGATACAGTCAAATCGACTCCTCTGTCATTGACCGCCCCCCCTGAGAATGGGGTTTATTTCGACAGCCGATGAGGTACTCGCACACTTGCGCAACCATTTCCCCAGGGCTAGACTCGAAAGCTGTGGTCTGTTCCCCCCTCCCCGCTGCGTTACAAGCAAAAGAGGGTGCAGATCTGTCGCGCCTCTCAGGGGAAACTCCAGGTGGGCTGCAATAGAGGTTAGGCTGTTGCAGAATTTCAAGCATACCATCTTTCAAGCACCCAGCGCCTTGATGCATGGTGGCTGTCGTTAGTACCCTCCTGCCCGAGATAAGAGGGGCATCATATTGCCCGTCAGTTAAACAGATAACGCCGCAATAGGTAACGTAGGGATTGAGGACTAATAAGCGGCTAGGTGTCTTGATATGGGCTACGACGAGGGGGAAAGCAACGTGAATTGGGTCCAAACAAGACGCCTGACACATTTGGCAAGTCGCTCGGTGGCCCGCAGGTCATGGCGAAGCCACCGTCGCAGGAGGCCATTTCGAAAAGACGCTTGGCGCGAAGCTATCGACGCCGACCGTAGGGCTTGAGCATGTGGTTGTCGACGGTGCCTCTGGCCGCTTGTCAGCTGCCATCCGGTCTCTGTCCTTGTCTCTGCAACGAGGGGCCCGGGCTTAGTCGCACAAGACTCTGCGTGCAAGTCGTTGGCTCACGATCGAGCCGACAGGACCACACTTTGTTGGGGGCTTTTTGACGATAATGTGTGACTGTGAGTGCTTGCTTGCGCTAGGCTGTCAGCTTCCTCACCCCTCCGCATTCTTGACCCTCACCCTGCGTCTCGGCGTCGGTCCACTGACCCGAGAAAGTCAGAATGAAATGGAGAGGATAGGGGAACCGTTGCAGTGATCCCAAACGCGACTTGGACACGTAAAGCCGGAGGGGAGTGCATTCGATTGGGAATGAAAAGGCATACACATGAAACCGTAACGTGGGGAACGATCTACTTCAGGGGACGGGAGTAGCGATTAGTGCGTAAGCATATTGCCAGCAGGGGGGCATTTCCCTCCAGTGAAGTCGAAAACGAGTTCGTTCCCTGCCACAGCATGGCTACACCCTCTTGTCAATTGCGGGAAGGGAGCGATCAGTCATGCGAACCCGAAACTTTTGACTTTTTTGGCGGGTGGCAGGATTGCGTCTGTAGACTGTTGGCAGCATTGAGACAGAGTCCGTGTCCTGCGTGTTGCCGGAGATCATCTCCAGCGTAGGGCAGGGTAACCGGTTATGGGAAAGGCATGAGGCCCAAATCTCGACGTTTGGCTGTGATTGATTTGACGGTAAGGGTTGATTGGCCTGGACGTTTAACTGACTGTTGAGCTCGGGGCTCGGATTGCAGCGAAGGCTTTGTGCACGGTCGAGGATTGGATGAGATTCCCGCCTTGTGGAGGAACTCCGTCTACTCGGCAAGTCTCTTTCGGATTTCAGTGGGAGGCGAGCAGGTGAAGCCACACGATTAACGGCTCCTTCTCCCCTTTCAGGCAAGCCAAGGTGCGCCAGGAAATCCAGGTTTCTTGCTGATACTCCGAAAGCCCGACAAAGGAGCAAAGCCCCCCCAGCTAGAACGTGAGGTTCTCAGGTTCGTGGGGTTGGGAGACATTTCCTGACTGGACTGGGCTGAAGGTAGCCTACGTCTTTGAAGTTAACAGGGAGCCACTGCTGAGCATGCCAGCAGGCCGCTAGAATGGAAAACGATTGACCGTGGTTGGCTGACGGCCCTCGTGTTCCGCTACCTGACGGTTAAGCTGGTGGCAGGACGTAAAACCATTAAGAAATGTCTCAGAGGCTGAAAAAGAGGGCGCTGTGTGTGTGTGTGTCGTTTCATGAGCAGCACCAGACGCTTGCCCCGTTGCGGCCTTCTTTTGCTGTTGAGCTGTTGATGCGAAGTGGGAAACAACACTGGTGATGATTTCAAAACCAAGGAATTGCCTAGGCGGGATTGGCTATATTGTGCCGCAACTTGCGGGCGTGGTCTCACTTTGTTCAGACTGTACGGGCTCTTGCCAGCGCGGGCGTTGGCCTTTGGGGCAAATCTGTGGATGCCAAAGTTGGAGGCGTTCATCGTTGTCCATGTAGACTTTTTCTTGAAGATGGGCGGCATCATGTAGGCCGTAATGCACACCAAAGCAGTACTGGTTGCAGAACAGTAGCTGGCTGTGGCTTTGTTTGATGATACTTTCCACCTGCGGGTTAATCATTGAGTATACGGAGTACAGCAAGAGAATCAAGGTTCAAGAAGGGCGTTTGTGTGTTGATCCCTTCTGGTGCGGTGATAAGACTGGCAAAGGCGAGCATGATTGCAGGCGAGTAGCAGGGGCGTCTCCAAAACAAAGCAGCATAGCCAAGCCTGGACAGCGGCCCAACAGCGGTAAACCGTGACACTGCAGAGCGGTAGGGGACGCGAGATGAGTCACGGAGGCGTGGAGTAAACTTGTCTCCGAGCCTAAAGTTCTAAACAGAGGGCGAGAAGCAGGGCGGCGGCGGCGAATCGGCGCCAGGTCAAGAAAGATCGGTCACGACGCGGGCCGGTTCTCATCGGTCGGGAGGTGCGCGGCGCGGCACACTAACACTTGATAGACGTGGTCGATATCATGTCTTGTTCAGGAAAGGCGAGGCAAGGCCCGTCGATACGCTGTTTCAGAGAGGGGGCCGAAAATAAAGAATAGCGGAGATTACAGATAGACGCCCAGTAGTTCGAGCTGGACGAGTTGAAGGGTCGTCAGTTGTCCAGACGGAAGCGAGGTCGAGTTCTCCGGAGGGCCTCGTTTCTTGGCCATGTTCGTGAATCGATTGGTAGAGAGGACCGCAGAAAGCTGCCCATCGCTTGTTTCATCTGCGTACTCGAGGTGGGACGCGGCCACCAATGAACCGCGCGCATCTGTCGTGTCATATCCAGGTCTTTTGGTGTACCTAGGTATTTGACAGTATGCGTAAACTCAGCTGCAGCAGTCCTTGTTAGTAACAACGGAAAGCAAGCTGACGTGCGTTGGAAGTACCTTGGCTCGCGTGCCTCAGTCTGTTCTGCTGTGCTTTGCTGCAAGGTAGTATGCCACTACTCCGTATGCGTATTCGTAGTTGATTCTTTTTTGGTGGTGAGCTGGCGGCTGAGGATTCGTTCATTTGATCCAGTCACATTTCATTTCTGGCTCCCACCATCAGTGTCAGGCAAGGGCTGCAACAAGAGGCGAGAGGCAAGGGAGGGCGACTCCAGTCTCCAGATGAAGGTGCGGATACGTATCCGTATCGTACTTGCTCCTTTCGCCTCGTGGCAGCCAATGGGGATGTTCAACATGCGTGAGGTGCAGGCGCCAGCTCACTTGACTGACAGATGGAGAAGCAGCGAATGGCTGGGGGTGGGTCTGCCTCTGTGCCTCCCTTTGCTTCTTCCCGTCTCCCACGTAGGTACCTTACGAGGTGCACTTTCCTCGATAACGAGGTAAGGTACTTGGGAGCGTACCTCTCAAGTGAACAGGAATAGGCAAGCACCAAGGTACCTATTCTATTCATCCGTACCTACGGAGTGCCTTCCTCCAAGTAATCTTACTGGCGAGTCGCCGCTCACTCTCGTACGTGCGCATGTTTTGCTGCAGTCTCTCGTCTGGGGCTCTGGGTGGACAAGAAAAACTGCTGCTTCTTGTTTTGGGAGACATGGGCCCTTGCTTGTGGGATCGTGTCTTGGTGTTTCTACAATCACTGGCTGAAATGGGATCGCTTCTGGTGTGCAGCGGCACTGGGGTGGGAGGTGGGAGGGGCCTTGAAGTTTTGAACCGAGCTGTACTGGCCAGTCAACGGGCTTCGTAAGACACTCCCAAATGAAGGTCGACCTATTACACAATGGTTCACGGCTCGGTTGTTGTCGTTCTTGTTCGTCGCCGCCGTCAAGAACCGGCCGATCCAATCCTGCATCGTGCTCCCGTCCGTAACCCGGCCCAGCGTTGCGCGTGTACTTCGTACTCTGATTTGGGCCGTGGTCTTGGTCATGGTCTTGATGACTGGTCTCAATCTTACTTTTGGGTCTTGGATTTTTTCGCTTGCAAAAGTAAATATATCGATCTCATCCCTCATCTCAGCGCCTCTAGCAGCACTATATTTCATCCCTGTGTCCCCCTCCCTCTTGAGTCTTGAATCTTGAGTCTTGATCTGCTCGGACGTGATTCTCCTTTTCTTTATTTCCAAATCAACTTGCATCATCACCGGCATTCGAGGGCTGTTGTATTGAATACGACAGTTTGTCATTAGCCCTCTCCGCATCCAATAGCACCACCGCCGGCCTTCACCACCATCCATCAACCAGCGAAAGCAGGGAGACGGAGCAGAGACAGCACCGACTCGGAGGTACCCCGGAAGCTACCGACCTACCAACGCAGAACGCGTCTCTTTCCCCCGATTTCATCTTCATCAACAGCCGGCCTGGTTAATACGAATCGGATCTCTTCAATACTTGTTTTTTCCTCTAGTTGCCAGGTTTATTATTTACCGTTTTGTTTACTTTCCTCGGATTTCTTGTTTACTCTCAAATATCGAACCCCTCCGTTGCTGGTCATCGCGTCTCCGAGAGGTACATCCCCAAGTTGCTCATCGCTCCTTCCCCCCTGAGCCCCTCCAACGACTTTCCCATTCCAGTGGTTCTGTCGCCCCACAGTTGCCAGTAGCGCCTTCCAATTGTGCACCACTACGGAATACACACACAGACCAAGCAAGCGTTGCTTCCTGCCCGCCCGCTCTCATCCCATCACATCGCCGCCAGCGCCTTTCCGTCTGCCGACCTGCCAAGGCTTTCCTCCAGAGGATACCAATTTTGATCCCTTGGGTCACGTCCGCCATCCGCCGTCTCCATCATCACGAGATTTGGAACTGGAACTGGAACCGATACTCCTTATTGGATCTATTGAATCTTGCTTGGATCGTCACTTCCCGTCCCGTCCCTGTCGTCGTCGTCGTGGTCGCCGTCAACTATTTCGCCCACACGAGTCTGAATTAAAAGGCAGACACCAGCCTGCATTCTTTTAGCCATCAATCCAACCACCAGCCATCAAGCAATCATTTACTCACACTCTCTCCACCATCGACACTTTACTCCTCGTGTTCAATTCCGCCTTCGATTCTGCCCGAAAGCCTCGAACCCTGGGACAAGCAACCTGCTGCATACTGCATCATAGCGTGTGTGCTTCTGAATCAATCTCATCCACCCAATCCAGTCGACCCCAACTGCCCGACTTGGACGTCCCCTGCTTGCGGCTTTCCATTCGCAGAAAGACATCCTGCACCGCCTCGCACCCAACTGTCACCGGACACTCTCCCGACACTTTGCACGGTCGAGAACTTTGAGGACGGCATCAAGTACCCGCTACCTCCTTCTCCGCGCAATTTCGACCCGTCGGCCCACGTACCCCATACTCTCCACCGCATCGCCCTGAGAAGTGGAAAGCGGATTCAACTTCGGAAAAGTGCATTGCCAAAGCCTCGCTCACCATACAACTTTGACCTTACACACGGTTCACGTTGTGGCCAACCTTGGACGTTACCGAACCTTCTCTACGGGATACGTTATACGTTAGGAGACACTGCTTGACAACTGGCCCTGTCGTCATTTCCATTTTCCCAGCACTCTGGTCCAGTAGAACAGTTCTTTGGACACATTGCTTGTTGCATCGAGAGGCTCCATTTCTAGGACCATCCCGATTCCTAAACACCTTGACGTCGGTACCTTGTTGCCCTGTAACGGCAATATCGACTTAATTCATCTGTCAGCGACACTTTGCGCCGGACAAACCTTCGAGTCTGGCCTCTCGCTCCGAGTTGAAAGGAGTGTCAATCATTTTCCCGTCTTCGACCGCCGCTCTCACGTTTTCGGACTTCGGATCCCGGCCGAACAAAGCACACAGTCGCTGCTGACCAGCTCTCTGCTCTGCTGCACACCCGACTGCATCGCAACCGCCCCGCGGCCCCGAGAACAATTAATCAACAATCGACATTCGTCTTACACCGTCCGCTGGCTCGGAAGCTCTGGATTCGACCGCCCTCGTCGTTGCCAATCATTCCGATCCTCAAACGGATCATCGCCGCCCTGCCGCTTCTACCACCTTCAGGTAGAGCAAACTAATACCGATACCTCACGGATACTCCATCTCACTCTCTCATCCCGCTCGCTGCCGAGTAGCCTTGGACTCACGACGCACGACCCAACCGTCAATCGTCACTTGCTTAATCAATCCGATCCAACTCAAATCGCCGACCGTTGGCTCAATCTGTCCTAGACAGTGCTCAACGCATCAAGCTCATTTCACGACGAGACGAGGAAATCACATCGCCGTCTTGACCCTTTCCCCTAAACCCAAACCCAAAAAACCACAGGCCGCAATAATCCCTGACTCGCCCCCGGGTCGATTTACTTGACGCCGTCACCTCCTCACCCGCAACTCTTCCAAGCGCTTGGCAAACTTGACTCGGCTCTCAGCGTCCGTTTGCAGAACCTTGAAAAGTTGTCCTATTCCTCCATTCGTCATAGGCCACCGGGCATTTTCCAGAAGTTTGGGTTTTGGTCTGTTCACTGCCATTGTCGTCGCCTTGAACAATCGCAAAAGTCATTAGCCGCCATACTCCAACTTCTCTGTTTCCAGCATCCAGGAAATCCACTTGACCAGTGCCCTTTCGTCCTTCTTTGCCGACGTCGTTGGCGTCTACCATTCTACTACATTCACAAATCGCCACCTGCCGGATACTCGCCGACATCGCCGAAATCATTTTCTATTCCGCTATACCAGCACATTCACAATCATTGCAACAATACCGACGACACCGCAACTATACTGATCTCTCCGTTGATACCGAAGAGATCTACTTGTTCCCGTGTCCCATCGACCGCAGCATCTTTGCACCGCCAAGGCCACTTGCGAGAACCTCGCAAGCAACAATACTACACTCTTTCGTTTGGGCAGACTCGGACCAGAAGCGTCCATACGTGAACTCACTCTCCAAGAGGGTAGCGCCACAGTCCCATCTCTGATTTGAAGGTTAAATACAGCAGCAAGAAAAGCAAACCCACCGACTTGCAGCCGCTCGCACCGAGTCTGCAACCCGCGAGAGTCTAGAGATCCAGACCCCTGCCGGCTAGTCCGCTTACCCCCCCTGCGACCTCGCTTCTTTTGGACAACTCTCTTGTTCAGTTCTGCTGGTGGTCTATCGACACACCTCTTTTCCATTCGGAGCATCGCCCACGCCTCCCTAACCACCCCCTGCCACCCGTACCCAAGCACGCCCCTCCCCCCTGTACGCCTTCACACCCCTGCACCCCTGGGATCTACAGCATTCCAGCCCACCCCAAGCATCCAAGCCCCCCCAGCAGGCACTTCCGTCGGCGTCTTGCTGAGACTCCCCTAAAAAACTAACCCCCTACTACGCTAGCACTTGACTAGCGACCCCCTGACAACCTGCCCACTCAGCCTCGTGGACCGCACGTCACCCACTGACGACTGGCTGTTCCGCATCCCTCTCTACCAGGCTCATCCCCAGAGGCTGGCCCCAGCAATTGCGACGAGACACATGAACTTCGCCGCACACCACGCTCGTACCCTCCTTTTCGTCTGAATATATCAGCCCAGCCTGCCCTCTTCACTCTCTTCTTACTTCGTCACTCTTCACCGAACCTCACCAACCAACAACAAAAGGAACACTCCTTCTACATCAAGGAGCCCTTGACTGTACTACGACTCCACTTGGAATCATCACCTCCACCTCCATATCCATCACCCATCACCAACCACCTCACCCTCAACCACATTCCACATACACACAATGGAGTCACGGTCACATCTCAGCTTGGCCGAGCTCAACGCCGCCGCCCTCGACCACTTCGTCTACCAACCCGTCAGCAAGTCCATGATCTCGTACTTGGCCGGTGCCGCCTACAATGTCATCTCATGCGACAGTGCTCTGATGCCTCCCGCTTCCGCAGAAGCCCAACGTCAACAGCAGCTTCCCCCGACGCCACCCAGGACACCCGAGCCCCGCGCCGTTCGCACCGAAGACGCCGACTTGCCTACCCTCGAGGCCTTCATCACACAACTCGTTGTTTCCTCCAACGTCCAGGTCCCTACTCTGATGTCTACCCTGGTCTACCTTACCAGGCTCAAGTCCCGCCTTCAGCCCATGGCCCGCGGTCTGCGATGCACAACACACCGCATCTTCCTTGCCGCCCTCATCCTTACCGCCAAGTACCTCAACGACAGCTCACCCAAGAACAAGCACTGGGCCACCTACAGCCACGTCAACAATGACTTCTCCAACTTTGGCTTCAGCAGAACGGAAGTCAACCTGATGGAGAAGCAGCTTCTCTTCCTCCTCGACTGGGAGCTCAGGATCTCCGAGGAGGACCTCTACCGCGAGCTTGACCCCTTCCTGGCTCCCATCCGCGCCGAGATTGAGGCCAAGCACGCTCGCCGCATTGCCCGCCGCCGCAAGCAAGAGGAGGAGATGCGCCGCAGACACGAGGAGATGATGTACAACACCTACCCCAGCCCCCCATCATCGCGTGCGAGCTCCCGCTCCCGCCTGGAATCACCCGACCACGCCCGCACCTACAGCGGATCTTCCATCACCCCTCCCGGTTTGTGCTACAGCAGCAGCTATGGCAGCTCCGTCAGCTCCTACGCTCCTTCAGTGGCATCGAGCCGGTCTCAATCGCGTGCCACCACGCCTCTCGACAACCCCGCCGACGAGCCGTACATGTACGTTCCCAACGGTAGCTTGTACGAGTCGCCAGTGGAGGTACACATTGAACAGCCTGCATCAACGCTTCCGAAGCGCAAGCCTCTTTTGCCCTACGAAATCAGCACCGAGGAGCTCCGCGACATGCAGGATGGCACAAAGGCCAAGCGAGCCCGCATGGGCCGCGGGATGTGGGGCCGCGTCTTCGGCGGCGCTGTGACTGTGCGGTAAATCCGCTGCGCAACACAATTTTCACCTTTGTCACAGCCTCCATTTTTTACAAGTTTTCTTGCGTTTTGAGCCACCCCCCAAAAAAGCATGGTGTTGGATTGTGCTATAGAGACATCCGGGGGAACAGACTTGATTTCACCATTCTTTTCCTTTTTTCTTTTTTGTCCGAAGGCGTTGGTAATGGACTGGTGGTACATGGACGACGAATCGAGGATAGAGCATCCTCGGCATTTGCATATATGGAACGGTGTTGGGCGGACATTCATGAACATGATTTTTCTCTTCTTCTTTGGGTCATTTGACGTCCTCGCATGGTAGAGGGTCGTCGTCGTGTGGGATTAGGATTGGGGAAACTGGCAAGCCACGACTTAGACAGTCTGGCACACATACTTTAGCCTAGCAGCAGTACGCGGGACACATCAAAATCGCAATGGCGACACCTGATACCCCTACAAATGAAAGCAACGGGCCTTGGCCTGCTTCCAAACAATCATTCCCAAGTTTTCCGACTTATTGGGTATCGTGAACGGTGAAAAGTGAAGTCGATTCCTGCTTGCAGCTTGGGACCAGACTTTGAGTGAGTCCGGGTTCATGGTCTACCTAGATCGGTTGGCGCTAAGGTGACGGAAAAATTTATTCTTGTATATGTCTTGGTGAGGTCCCCCTCGTGACGGGTGAATGCAGCCAGCCAAACCGGCGGTGTGGGGGTGGTGGTGGTGGTAGTGAACCGTGAGCAGAGGGACACACTGAAGGATTTCGCATTCAGCGGACAATGCGAGACATTTTGACCTCCCGTAAACGAGGCGATGCTACGCTGCCGGTCATTTCACCGTGTTCTCATGTCTGTCTGCGGCATCCCTCACGAGATCGCATGCAGTTTGGATTGTTACGATACTTTTTTTTTTCCCCCTGTCGGCGATGTAGTGAACCTGCCGTTCGATGATGCAGAGCATCTCTTGTTTTTTTTATTTTTATTTTAATACACCCTCTACGATGACGGGTCATTTCTGAAAGAGCAAAATTCTTGATTTGCACTGATTACATGACGTGCCATGACTTATTGTAGAAGCTCATGTTTTACTCCTGGACTGTCAATACCAATAGGTTTGCAGGTCGACAGGTCACTCTAGTCATGAACGTGCACCAAGCGACGTCAGTACGCAGGACAGGCAGGGCAGAATCAGTGTGCGCAGTACGGGGGCATGAATCGGACGAGAGAGTTTTTCTAATGCTGCAACCTTGTATCGGTGTGTGTGTGTCCTGTCTGCGCCAAATGATGCGGTCAGGAATCGGATAAAAGAAAAAACCTTGTAGAGCGTAGGGATCGAAGAGTTGCAATCGTAACGGTCTTTTTCGTCACACCCCGACTCTTGGGTAGACGATTTCGGCATCCAAGGGTACCGAGTATCCGTATTGGGGATTCTGGGGGAGGATTGAAGGAACCGGGGAAGGGAATAAGTGAGACCCATGGGATTTCCCGACGATGAATGCGGGTGTTGGGAGACCGGGTACGGGGTTTTACGGGGTGATGCCCTTAGCGAACGGACGGAGACGGACTGGAAGGTGGACGTTTACGTGCGGTAGTGGCTTCGGAAGGAGATGTGTACCGCAAGCCCGCAAGCCTCTAGATCTCGTTCTTCACCGATTCAAGGAGGGAAAAGGGGATGAGAGAGAAAACCAAAGACAGATTTGGAAGTTCGTTTGGATCGGGTTGACTACGGGCCTGTGGTTTGATTCACTCCCCTTTCCCCCTCCTCCACCTCCTCCCATCCTCCTTTACCTACACAAGGTACCTTATCGGAGAATAGCGGTCGACGATGCCGGTGCCGGCGGTGGGATCGGAGGAGGGGGGGGAGGGGTCCAGGCCTTGGATATCGCGGGGAATGGTCGATTAGCCTTGGAATCCGCTTGATGATAGCGTACCGTATTTGACATGAACACTGACACTGACAGCCCAGGCCATGACAGATTTCCAAAAATCCAACAAACCCACCAACACTCTAGATCTAGCCTTTTCCTTTCCCTTCCCTCTCCCCCCCTCCCATCTCTCCGCCCCCTTTAGATTTGACGCTACCGCTACGCAGTACTACGGTACTACGGTGCTGCCGCGAAATAAGCGTCGGGCATCGTCCCGGGCCTTTGGGTCAGTTGAGGGTAGGTAGGTACTCTTGAACCCTTCACGGAGGATCCCGAGAAAGGTGTCTCGCTGGGGAGGAGACCAAAGAGATGATTGCGTGTCCGCTTGTTTCCGGCTCCAGAGAGGAAAGTCCAGAATCCGAAAAGCACGAGGGAGTGTATGTCAGGGTTGACGAATTTGATCGTAATGCGGCTCATGATGTTTTGACATAACCCCCGGTGAATACCCAGCCCACCGGCCTTCCTTGTTTCGTCGTATTTTGGTCATCTTCCTTTTCGCACCCATCCTGCTTACCTTACCTGTGTATCCAACGGGTTTGAGAATAGGTACCCTGCATGATCGTTGTGTCTGGAGCGATGCACATGGAGGTGTCGTGTCGCACAATGTGGTTACACGGGTAACATGTCCGTTAATGAAATCTGCGATCAAACGGCGGAATGGCCAAAATGAGGCGGATGAGTACGTAGTATCTACCCAAAATTCGCCGACAAGGTTTTTTTCTCGATTCTTAGGGGCCCAAGAAAATGGTGACGTCTGTAAAAGGTGCCATCTTGGACATTTGGTTGGGCGACGGCGAAGAGAAGAGAGTTTCAACACTCTTCAAAGTTGGCTGTTGGTTTGCCTTGGGTTGGTTGGGTTGGCGTGGGATGGAGGGGTCTTGCTTGCTCAACCAACCCCATTTTTTAGACACGTATGTTTGCCCTAGTATGCGGTGAGATCCTCGTCCTTCGTCCAGGTACTCTTCGTCTGCGCCTCTAGGCTTCATTATCACAAGCTTGGAGAGAAAGTGAGAAAAAGAAAACAAGGTCCAGGTCGTTGCAGAATGCGCATCCTGGTGGATGATGGGGGATTCAGGCTGCAATCGAAGTTGGGGAAAAATGTCGGTCAATGATCGGAATCTGGGATTGGGAGAGGAGGGGGAGGGGTGTGTGCGCGAGCGATGATCGTGCGCCGTTCAGATTTCCGCCGTACTTTAGGATGTGCATGTGTGGCTGGGGTGGAGTGAAAAGGCAGCGAAGAATGCATGCCAGGAGGCAGGATTCTTAGGCTCCAACCCCGCGAAGGTGTTCCCCTCCTCGTACAGAGTACGATGCAGGTATTCATTCCTGCTCCTTGATCGTATGAGTGGATGAGGTTTGTTTGCTAGAGGTCGTGATCGTGATCGTGAGAAGGGACTTGGGCGGCCCAGGCCTTCCTTGCCCCTGGCCTGGGCTACCTAGGCATGCCTGGTCAAGATGCGGATACGTGGATGACAGTTGCAGGGTGTGCTCCGCTTCGTGTTCAGTGTTGGGCTCCAGTAAACTTGGGAGGACCGGAGCTTCATCCCATGCCTGGCCGCTGGCCGGCGGTCGGGGTCGGGGTGGGTCTCTCGAGAGTCGAGGCCGGCTCGGAGGGGCTGGAGGAGTGTTGAACAATCGACACTAGATGAGTCACGAGGTCGAGGGGCGGCGGGCCAAGTTTTGCGGTCGGATGACTGGCACTATTGGCTCAGTCTGACGGACCCAGTCGACGCTTCCCACTGCAACGCCCTCTGCCCGCCCAATCGACTCCCTGTCAGCTGTCTCCTTGAGGTTTGGTCTGTAAGGTATTCACCAAAAGCGAGTCCAGTGCGCCGGTCAGCTTTTGCCCAACGCCGGTGTGCGGCGTGCGTGCCGTGAGCCTGTCACATATGGTAAAGTACTGCGTACGCCTGGCCTGGGTGCGCAAGAACCCGCCCCCGGATTCGTGGATACGGGCCGTGGCAAAGGGTCGCCTCACGCCAAGGTCAAATGACTTGCATCCCTGCCACCCTGGTCGTCTGCTCTCCCGTGGGCCATGCCCCGCGCGATCCCACTGGCGTACTGCAGAACCACGGCCGCGTCGCGAGACCGAGGGCTCCGGCTGGGCGAACCGCGAAGTCACGGGGAAGTAAGTCAGCCTGCCGCCATCCACTGTGCCTGCACTTGTCCGGACGGCTATCTATACGGATACCAAGGTTGTTTCAATGTGGCTTGGGCCAAACGTTCGCTTCTTCCTCGTTTCCAACCTTGCCGGTATACTTAGCTGTGTAGGTTTCTCAGTGATTAGGTGTTTTAATTTTTTAATTTTTAATAGTTGGTCCACATTGTTGACTCTGGAGGCATTGGCAAACCTAACGGCCGTTGAGGAGCTGCTGCGCCGTGTCCTCAGCCCCAAGCTCTCAATCAGAAGCATGCGCTATTCGCCAAGATACTCGCGAGCTTTGTAGTTGCCGGTGAAAGTCTCGGCAAAAAGGCAAATGGCGAGAGGAGGAAAATCATGCCAATCCTATTGTCCCTTTGGACATGCCAGGCCTTGGCTGAGTAGCGTTTGAAGTGTCTGTAGTTGTTTGATGACGCCCATAGCGGAGCTCGCGGCTGACACGGCGATGCCAAGGAATACCTTCAGCACCCAGTATCTGTATCGAGCCCAGCCCCACTCGCATCGTGACTTTGAAGTTCAATATTAGGTATGTCGATCGCCGCATTATTGCCAATGGCAGGGCCGCAATGCCAAGACGAGGAATTTAGACGTTTGATCTTTGAGATGGTCATAGGCTTATCAGCGTAACAAGCTCGCACTGCCCCACTGTCGCAGAGGTGCGCTGACATGGGATTCAGCTGAGTTGTGTGCGCTTGCAATCGACGCGATGACGCTCCAAGCCCCTCCATAAGCCAGCAGAGGAATTAGCTCTGAGAGAAATGGATATGCTTGAGATTACTTGTCGCATAGTGCGCGTCAAAGGGGGTAGACGCAGTGTTGGTCGGTGCTCTCGAACTGGAAGCCTCTGACACAGTCTAAGCGGTTGGTCCGATGTCGACATAGCCTTGAGGCTCATCCCGCGTCCGTTCGCCGACCTCGGAAATGGGTACAACAGCATGCTATCCGAAGTTTTCCTGTCTCGACTTTTGCCGAATGATCTTGCACGGCCTTGGAAATTGTTCCAGAATTCTTCGTTGGAGCACGTTGCAGTCTGCTTGGACGGTTGGCGATGGCTAGCTGGACAGTTTTCGAAGGCGAAGCTTCGGCCGCATGGGGGCGCAGCGGTCCTGATGATTGGAGGAACCGAGAGGCCGATTTTGGCACGACCGTTGGAATTCTTCTGCGGTATACTCAGCGAGCAAGAATAGAGGCACCCAAGTCTCCTGACGGGTCTGAATTGAATGAAGTCGAAGTATCGGTTGGTAGAAGTTGCTCTTGTTTGTGTCATGAAAATAACTTACAGCAACAGTGTTGTGCCTCCACCAACGTGTCAGCCGCAAGCTGTACTACCCACGCATCGTTCTGTCAGAGGTTTATGGTGACGCCCCTTGGATTGTTTGTTCCACCCAAGCACGCGAGTGAGTAAGCTGGCGGAGGTTACTGTAGTATCTGAGAATGGCTTGTCTTGAGGTGCAGCCTGACAGATCGACAGGAACACACATGGCGATCCGCCGAGGTGTCATGGCGAGGATGAGTGAGCAATAGCAACTGCAGCTGCGCTTAGAAATCGGGGTCCACGTGGATCTTGCTGCGGCTAGCGGCTAGCGCGGTGCGGGGGAGACGCTATAGACGCTGTCCGATGAGGTTTGCCACTTGAAAATAGAAGATGGAACATGGATAGATCTAGTAAAGATCGATTGAGAGTGGGTGTGGTATAACGATGCGAGATGGAGATGGAATGTCGTAGATTAGAAGAAGAAAAGTGTATACCAAGGTGAATCGGATTAAAGGTTAAACGATGGTTTCCAATGGCCGAGTGCTTAAGGGTTCCACTGATGCCCAGTCGCTTCCATTGGTAGAGAGGGTAGGTGAAGAGATACAGGTAAGGTATCCTTCGTGCCTTCCGTTGCTTCTGGATATTAGAATGGAAGTCTCCAGTATGTTCCAGTCTGTATGTTCGAATACTCCGTACCCAAACTGCAGGCACCCTCGGGTTTGGCGTGTCGAAATCGGCGTGCCTCTGGTGCCTGCCCCTTGAGGCACTCAAATGAAACCTGGACGGACCCATTGTGAGCAAATTACGTCACGCGAATGTCTTTGGTACCTGAACAGACAGTGCCAACACAGTTTCTGGCCACCCGACAACGACAGTGCAATCACCGTGTTCCTGCAGAAAAAGTGGTGAGTCGCTGACTCTGATACCTGAGAATTCTGCACCGCACAAAACGCGCATCCCCAAAGAGGCAAAGGGCCATTCTGTTCAACATTTCCAAGCAGCACAATTGCCGCGCTGTAATTAAAAAAAAAAAAAAAAAAAAAAAGTAGAGTCAAACACCGAATGATCAAGAAACCCAGGGCTAAGTAAAACAATCGTAGAATTCTCGTACATAATTCATCTTTTCCGGCAGCTGCAGTCTTTTTTCGGTTGTGCTACATCAAAGGGACGTGGCATCAATCCCTCGCGTCGGCATTCATTTGGAGAAAAAACTCGGACACCGAGCTCTGAAGCAAACTGAACATCGTCTGCCCACGCTCATCTATTTGCTGCTCACTCGGCCTTCAATTCTACCAATTTTCCTTACTTCTACGCTTATTCCTACTTCAAGCCTTCGTATTTGGGCATCTCCCTCACGCATATCTCAAATAAGAGAAAAGTCAAGGACGGGTATAGAAGCTCCTGTAGCTTTCGGAGAAAGCTGGCCTGAGCTACTGCAAAACTCACACCTTGGTTTCAACTTTCGCGTCCAAGTCGCCCTCCCGTGAGCTCCCTCAACATTCCACTCAAGGCTGCCAACGCATCTACCATCCCTCTACACCGGCTCTATCATTTCAAATACAAAAAGGACGGCGACAACAACAACTAGCAGAAACACCGGCGACTCGGCCAACAGTCCGCGACGATGGACGACGGAAGGCATCCTCGCATCACCACCTCATTTCTGCTCGCCAACTTGCACTGCCCGTCATGCGTCTCTTCCATCCAGCAGGCTCTCCGGGAGTCTTCCAGTCACGATGTCATCTGGGTCTCACCAAACATTGTCACCTCCGTCGTCACCATTGAGCACAGGCACACGACAACCCCCGATATCACCATCCGGTGCATGGCCAAGTCACTTCAAGATGCCGGCTTCGAGATTTGCGGTGTCACAACCACGGCTGCCACGGAATTCGACATGGACACCATCACCTTCACCCAGCCTGATTCTGGTGTCATGGACATCAACGCCAACACACACAACGGCGGCGCCCTCAATGGCCTGCTCTCCTTCGCCCCGGGGTGGTCTTCTGATTCACCCGAGGCCCAGCGGGAGGCCCATCTTCTCAACTGCAAGCAATGCCGTGATTCAGAGGATAGCGGCGCTTCAACCGCAGACCTACTAAACTCACACGTCAACAGTGTGCGGAGCTCGCTCTACAATGGTCTCGACAGTGTCACAGCAATGGCGTCAGGAGGCTCAAAATGGAGAGTCACACTCTCTGTCGGCGGTATGACCTGCGCATCCTGCGTCAACACAATCAGCGAGGAACTCAACAAGCAGGAGTGGATCGACAATGCCACCGTCAACCTGGTCACCAACAGTGCCACTGTTGATATCAGAGACAAGTCCAACGCTTCAAAGGTCGCGGAAGCCATTGAAGACATGGGCTACGATGCCAGTCTAGACAGCGTCACGGAATACGCAGAGTCTGGCGATGACTTCAGCGGAGATGAAAGCGATGAAAAGAAATGGCGAGCAACCGTGGCGATTGGCGGTATGACTTGTGCCTCCTGCGCCAACACCATCACTGAACAGTTGAACAAGAAGGAGTACATCGCCAACGTTGCAGTCAACTTGGTAGCTAACAATGCCACCATTGACTTTATCGTTGAAGGCAAGCAAGACGACATTGTTCGGTCCATTGAAGATATGGGCTACGATGCTACACTGGACAGCGTATCAAGGGTCAAGATTGAGAATAAGGGCGCGCAAGAGAGGACGGTCCAGATCTCAATCAAGGGCCTCTACTGTCAACATTGCCCCAGCCGAGTAACGCACTCTCTCACTTCCTTCACGCACCGGCTAAAGGTCGTGTCCAAACCCACTCACGAGAAGCCACTCGTTACCGTAAAGTACACGCCCAGCGCGCCTTCGTTCACCATTCGACAAATCCTATCCGCCATCGATGCCGCCGATCCTGCCTTTAAGGCATCGATTTACCATCCGCCTAGTCTCGAGGAGCGCTCAAAACTCATTACACAAAAGCACCAGCAGCAGCTCCTTAGACGAGTCTACTTGACGTTTGTCATCGCCATCCCGACTTTCATCATTGGTATTGTCTACATGAGTCTGGTTCCCGACACAGACAAGGGCAAGCATTACCTCATGAAGCCATGGACTTTGGGCATCGACCGAGCCCAGGTCGCCCTATTCGTCCTCGCAACGCCGGTGTACTTCTTTGGCGCCGACGTCTTCCACAGCAGAGCTATCAAGGAAATTAGGAATTTGTGGCGCAAGGGCAGCAAGACGCCCATCCTTCGTCGATTCTACAAGTTTGGAAGCATGAACATGCTCATGTCGCTCGGAACGACCATTGCCTACGTTTCTTCCATTGGTCAAATGGTTGCTGCCGCCATCAACAGGCCTACAAAGGTTGACGACACGCAGTTCTACTTTGACTCCGTCGTTTTCTTAACTCTTTTCCTGCTCCTGGGTCGCCTAATCGAATCGTACAGCAAGTCGAAAACTGGCGACGCGGTCGAGATGCTGGGCAAGCTGCGACCTACCACGGCCATCCTCGTCACCAAGGACTCTATTGGTAAGACCACTGACACCGTCGTTGGCGTGGACATGCTCGAGTACGGAGACGTTGTGCGCGTGCCTCACGGTGCGTCGCCTGCCGCAGATGGAATCGTGGTACAGGGCGAAGGCAGCTTCGACGAGTCTAGCTTGACAGGCGAGTCTCGCCTCATCAAGAAGGCACCGGGCGACGAGGTCCACGCAGGTACGGTCAACAAGGATTCCGCTATCCAGGTACGCATCACAGGTGCAGCGGGCGCCTCCATGCTGGACCGGATCGTCTCCATTGTCCGAGAGGGCCAGACGAAGAGGGCACCTATGGAGCGCGTCGCCGACGTGCTGACGGCCTACTTTGTCCCCATCATCACCCTGATTGCCGTCATCACATTCTTCACTTGGTTGATTCTCGGCTACGCTGGCGTCCTCCCGAGAGACTACCTCGATTCGGAGGGCGGATGGGCTGGCTTTGCGCTGCAGTTTGCCATTGCCGTCTTCGTCGTCGCCTGTCCCTGCGGTCTCGCTCTCGCGGCTCCCACAGCCATCTTTGTCGGTGGCGGTCTCGCAGCCAAGCATGGAATCCTTGCCAAGGGAGGAGGCGAGGCGTTTGAAAAGGCCAGCAACGTGGACGTAGTTGTCTTTGACAAGACGGGCACGCTCACCGTCGGCGGCGAGCCAAAGGTTACGGACGCCGGGCTCTACCTCGAGGGGAGCAGCCTCGAACGCGGCATGGTTCTGGCCACTCTACGAGCGATTGAGGAGAACAGCAGCCACCCCGTAGCAAAAGCCATCGTCTCCCACTGCACCTCGCAGACGGATGCCTGGGTCGACGTCGACAGCCTTCAGGAACTGCCCGGCAAGGGCATGAAGGCCACGAACCGCGGGGCGAGGCCCGACGAGGCATTTGACATGATTGTCGGCAACGAGTCGCTGATGCGCGATCACGCCGTCCACTTTGACGAAGGCGTGTCCTCTCAACTACAGAAGTGGAAGAGCGAGGCTAGATCGGTCGCCTTGGTCGCCACTAGACCTACTACTACTACTTCTACCACAACGTCAGACGACCACCCCTGGACCCTCGTCGCGGCGCTCTCCATCGCCGATCCCATCCGGCCCGAGGCGGTCCGCATCATCAAAGCCCTCCACGAGCAAGGCACCCGCGTGTGGATGCTCTCGGGCGACAACGTCGTGACCGCCAAGGCCGTTGCGGCCCTGGTGGGTATCGACCCGGACAACGTGCTCGCCGAGGTCCTCCCCTGGGAAAAGGCGGACAAGATCACGTACCTGCAATCGGTCCTCAAGGCGCGGGCTGGGGGCGGCGGCGACGAGCACACGGGGAAGCGCGCCATGGTGGCCATGGTTGGGGACGGTATCAACGACTCGCCGGCGCTGACCAAGGCGGACGTAGGCATCGCTATCGGCAGCGGCAGCGACGTGGCCATCTCGAGCGCGGATTTCGTGCTGGTAACGAGCGACCTCCGAGCCGTGGTAACGCTGCTCGCGCTCAGCCGGACCGTGTTCAGGAGGATCAAGGTTAACTTTGGGTGGGCTGTCATCTACAATCTGCTGGCGATTCCCATCGCCGCCGGCTGTCTGTATCCGATTGTCGTGAATGGTGGGCGGCAGCACGTGCGGCTGGACCCTGTGTGGGCCAGTCTCGCAATGGCGCTGTCTAGTATCAGCGTCGTGCTGAGTTCGTTGGCGTTGAGGAGTAAGGTGCCGTGGCTTGGGTTCCGGGCGAAGAAGATTGAGTAGGGGGGGGGGGGATTTTGAATTCAAGTGGACGCGTGAGAGATGATGAATCTGGCGGTTGTGCCGTGTATAATCACTTGTTGTGTTACTAGAGGATACCTATGTGCTGAATAGAGAAGAGCATCATTGAGCACCATTGAAGAGAAGTTTCAAACATGACGAGATGCCTTTTACAATTTGAGGCTCAAGTCCCTATGCTTTTCGCTCTTTGATTCCTTGTCTACCTCAAGACGCCAGTTGCTGCATTCTCTAGCCGTGCACGTTCATGTCAAGAGAGATCAAATTGGATGAGGATTACATACGCCGCGCAAAAGCCACGACTTCGTACGAAGCCCAGCTCACCCATCCCCTTCATCTATGCACCCAACTTTAGGCCAACTTAATCAAAACTACTCGAGAGACGTGTTTATCGCGCAACTTTAACAGATATATCTAGAAATGGTTTGGGTAGTTCGAGATAGAGGTCGAACTCTCCCTCTGGAAAGGACGGACTGCAATTGAAGTGGAGACTGTCCGAAAGCGGCAAACAGAGGTGATCATGGAACGACATGTATAAGATTCCAATGACAGCACGGCTGATGGGCTTCAAATCTTTCGTCCAAGCCAACTAATTATCAAACATCAATTCTTTCCAGTTGCATTCTGGCAATGACATAGTTATCTGTGTTGTGAAAGAAGTACGGCACAACATGACTGAGCAATGAGTACGGGGTGTAGTTGAATGGTGACGACGGAGAGCGGAAGCCGATGCCGTGACCGAGCGGATACCGCATCACCCGATTGCCGGACGGGCCGCCCGACAGCCTGGAATCAATGACACGAGCAGTGAGACGGCCGCCACTGATGAATGTAAAATGGTCAGAATCTGGGGCGAAAGAGGCTTGCATTTCCGGATGGTCGAGCACGCAATTCTGAGCCCAGACCAAAGATTGCGGATTTGGTAAGCGGAAGTGCCTTGGGTGCACCGGTAGGCCCAGGGAACGTGGAGGGAAGGGACGTCGAGTGGATCGGAAATGGTGCAATGTGGGGCCGTTGCAGATGGATCCCGGTCGTTCATTGGCGCGCGATGGCGCAATTGTCCCCTAGTCGCAATTCTCCAAGCTTCAACAATTTCCAAACGCCGAGTTTCGCACGCGAACAAGCAGCAAGAAGCAGACAGCAATGCGCCTGCCACCAGACAGCAAGATGCCTGACAAATGCCCGTCTCTCATTGCCTGCTGCAATGGAGTCAATGGAGTGCGCTTCTCGGTTCCCGGTGCTACCAGCTAACCGTGCTTGTAAGGTGAGTGCCGGCTAAAGGGTCTCCTTTGCCGGTCCTGCTCTCACTTTTTTTTTATATGCTCGGAACCTGTTCGGAGTCTTCTTAGACGAGGACCTGTCTTGAACTTCTTCCTCTCTTCCCTTCTTACCTCTCCTCACTTACAAACCTCAAGGTCCTCCTAGAACGAAGAAGCTCCTCTCTCGTTCAGGTTGACGCAAGTGACTTGTACAACTTGCTCTTGAGTGTCCCAATTGTCTCTTAGTAGCAACCATTCTCTTGCGAGTGGTGAGGCTCTGTCTTCTGGTCCTCCGTGTATTTTGGACCATCTTTAATCACATATTCTTTGCTGTACTTATTCCCAATTCGTCCCCTCCAACCGCTCCCAAGATGCAGTTCAAGCAGCAAGAGAGCACCGGCTCTGCGGCCGCCGTTGACGCAAAGTCGCCGCCCTCGTCCGTCCCTCAGAAGAAGGTCTCTTCCACCCTTCCCTTTGGCCAGCCCGTGGCCCTCTCCTCCATCTCCGGTCCTACCTACGTGACGGCCCAGCTTCTCGTCCAACAGGTCGCCTTCCTGCTCTCCGACAAGATCTTCTCCTACTCCGCTCCCACCTTTGACCTCGACGTCGCCGCAAAGGCCTGGGCTGAGGCCAAGGAGCGCAACATCCACGGCGAGACCACCGACCTCATCCAGCTCCAGACCAGGACCGGCGCCGGCGCCCTCGCTCTCGGCTACATCTTCAGCCCGGACTTTGACCTGGCCAAGAGACACCTGCCCCAGACCCTGCTCGCCCCTACTCTGAGCTTGAAGAACCTCCGCGGCGCATTGGACCAGCTGAGCCTGTTGTACGGCGTCGCCTCCCCCTTCGTCGCCCACGTCGCGGCTCTCGATTACGATGCCGCGAACGGCCTCGTTTCCGACTACGACACTGCTCTGCGCACCGCCGAGGATCTTGGCCTCGGCTTGGTGGCCAGCTCCAGCGCCTACGAGACTCAACACATGGCCCTCTTCGCCACCCTCATGGCCGCTCTGATGCCCACGCTGCACATCTACGATGGTGTTAGACTCGCCCGCGAGACCTCCCGCGTCGTTGATGCCCTCAGCCAGAGCGGCATCGCTGACCTCTACAACAACATCACCTCCGAGTCCACTGGTGTCTCTGAGAGAGCCGCAATCTCTTCCAAGGTTGCTGGCCTGTTGGACGTCTTCAACAAGCACCTCGACCCCACCGAGGACCACGAGAGCCAGCACACCGCGCTCCTGGCCACTCTCATGACCGCCCTCACCCCCAACCTGGGAGTCGAGGACGGCGTTAAGCTCGCCAAGCAGACCCTCAAGGCCTCGGACGCTCTCAACAAGAAGGGCGTCGCCGAGACCTACAAGAAGATTTCCAGTGAGGTTCAGTCCCTGAACAAGAGACTCGATGACGCCGGCAAGGTCGTCGAGCTCCTCAGACTCTTCAACAATGAGCTCGGCACCGCCTACAACCTGTTCGAGTACCACGGACACGACCAGGCCGAGGCCGTCCTCGTCGTCTTTGGCAGCGCCGAGACCCAACTCGCCAAGCAGGTTGTCACCCGCCTCGCCGCCGACGGCGCAAAGGTCGGTGCCATCAACGTCCGCGTCTACCGCCCCTTTGTCGAGGAGGCCTTCCTCGCCAGCATCCCCGCCTCCGCCAGGACCATCTCCGTCCTCGGCCAGGTCAAGGACGAGCTCTCCGTCAACGACGCCTCCCTGCAGTCTGCGCTTTACACCGACGTCCTGACCTCCATCTCTTTCTCTGGAAAGTGGCGCCAGGACCCCACCGTCTCTGACGTCAAGTACTCCGCCTCCGAGGCCCTGACGCCCCAGACCGTCGCCGACATCTTTGGCAAGCTCCTCAGTGCCGAAGCCGAGTCCAAGCCCTTCCCCGCCTTGGTTCAGGCGCACCAGTACACCTTCTGGGACGTTGACAACTCTGTCGCCGTCGACTCTCCGGCTGTTGTCAGCAACTTGCTCTCCCGCGAGTCTACCAGCAACGTCTACGTCCACGAGTCTTTCGACAACCTGCTTCAGGGTGGTATCGTCCGCACCGACATTCGCAGCTCCAAGAAGGCCATTGAGGCGCCCTACGCCGTCGAGGAGGCCGATGTCGTTGCTGTTGGTGAGGAGAAGCTCCTCAAGGATCTTGACATCATCAAGAGCGTCAAGGCTGGTGGTAAGCTTCTCCTGAACCTCCCCAGCTTCAAGGAGGAGGATATCGAGAAGCGCCTCTCCCCCGTCGTGCGCAAGCAGATCCAGGACAAGTCCATCGAGCTCTACATCCTGGACGCCTCCGCCTTTGCCGAGAAGGAGTCCCAGGCTGTCAAGGTTCTCTTGGAGTTTGCCTTCCTCCAGATCGCCCGCTCCGACATCACCGCCGAGGAGGTTGCTAAGATCGCCCTCCCCGAGGCCTTCTCCAGCACCCTCGCCGAGACCCAGGAGGCCCTGAGCCAGGCCCTTCGCAAGGTCGAATCCCAGTCCGCCTGGGCCGAGCTCCCCGAGGACGTCGTCGTCAGCCCCCTACCCGCCACCATCAAGCCCAACAGCTTTGTCGGCTTCGACAAGGAGGAGGCTGAGGAGACCTCCCAGCTCGTCGACTGGCAGGCCGCGGCCAAGGGCCTGGCCTTCAAGGAGGCCTACGGCACCGAGAGCGCCCTGCGCCCCGAGCTGCCCGTCAAGACCCACACCATCACCGTCAAGGAGAACCGCCGCCTCACCCCCGGCAACTACGACCGCAACATCTTCCACATCGAGTTCGACCTCGGCGACTCCGGTCTCACCTACGACATTGGCGAGGCCCTCGGCATCCACGCCGAGAACGACCACGAGGAGGTCAGCGCTTTCATCAAGTGGTACGGCCTCGACCCGGAGGCTCTCGTCCAGGTGCCCGCCCGCGAGGACAACGCCGCCTTCGAGACCCGCACCGTCTACCAGTCCCTCAAGCAGAACATTGACGTCCTCGGCAAGCCCCCCAAGCGCTTCTACGAGGCCCTGTCCGAGTTCGCCGCCGACGAGCGCGAAAAGGCCGTCCTCGCCAGCCTCGGCGGTGCCGAAGGCGCTGCCGACTTCAAGAAGCGCTCCGAGGTCGACTTCGTCACCTACGTCGACATCCTCCAGGAGTTCCCCTCGGCCCGCCCCTCTTTCCACGACCTCGTCCGCATCATCGCCCCGCTCAAGCGCCGCGAGTACTCCATCGCCTCCGCCCAGGCCGTGACCCCGACCTCGGTCGCCCTCATGATCGTCGTCGTCGACTGGGTCGACCCCCTCGGCCGCAACCGCTTCGGCCACGCCACCCGCTACCTCTCCGCTCTCCCCGTCGGCGCCACCGTCGTCGCCTCCGTCAAGCCCTCCGTCATGAAGCTTCCCACCTCCTCCAAGGCGCCCCTCATCATGGCCGGTCTCGGCACCGGTCTGGCGCCCTTCCGCGCCTTCGTCCAGTACCGCGCCCTGCAAAAGGCCCGCGGCGAGGAGATCGGCTCCATCCTGCTGTACCTCGGCTCCCGCCACCAGCGCGAGGAGTACCTGTACGGCGAGGAGTGGGAGGCCTACGTCGACGCTGGCGTCATCACGCACCTCGGCGCCGCCTTCTCGCGCGACCAGCCGCGCAAGATTTACATCCAGGACCGCATGCGCGAGTCCATGCGCGACGTCGTGCAGTCGTACATCCGCGACGAGGGCAGCTTCTACCTGTGCGGCCCCACGTGGCCCGTGCCTGACGTGACGGACGTGCTGATGGAGGCCATCA